CTGGTTCTGCTGGTCACCTGGCTCGTGTTGGACATGTCCAATCGCGCGGAGCAGTTAATCTCCTTTGCGGGTGTTTGGGTTTTTGTCCTTTTGCTGTTTATCTGTTCGGCTCATCCTCGAGCGGTAAGCACACACGCATACACACATACACACACACACAAACCTGTAATGATATCTTTGTAGGGATCACTCATTAATTTTTATGGGAAAAATGCTATTGCTAACTATGACAACCTTAATCCCTACCCAGCACTGACCATAACCATGTCACCAAACCAAATGCAAGAATTTTTGCATTATTAGTTTTTTGATTGCAGTCACAGATTTTTAGAAAATTGAGTTTTCCTTTATGCTGGTCCCCATAAAGTAAAAAAAAAAAAAGGGTATTCATCACTTTGTGGGGACATTTGGTCCCCACAAGGTATGGTATATCTGGACTAGGCACACACATACACACACACACACGCAGACACAGTTAATACCTTTTCCTCTGGATGTTTAACCAAAGTAAAGTTTTACTGTAACTGTACCTTCTGGGTCCAGCATAGATAAAGCAGTGGACTTTGCGAAACTGAGGGACGTTACTTGTGTTTTCGGATATCTGCTATGTCTCTTTGTGTCAAGGTGTCATGGCGAGCCGTCTTCTGGGGCTTAGGTCTGCAATTCGCCATCGGCCTCTTCATCATACGGACCGAACCGGGCCTGGTGGCATCCCAGTGGCTGGGAGACCAAATACGGGTATCATCATTGATTCGTTTTGTCTCACGGAGGCCAATTTTATGCCTGTGATGTAATGATTTGACTGAAGCACCTGAATCCACAGAGTGATAAGAGTTGATATGAGTTAATCTCATCCGTGTACATGGAATGTGAGCTGCGCTATTTGGGACAGTTCCCAATACTGCCATGCATGACAGAATTAAACGCTTCTTATTTGCAGATATTCCTGGACTATACCAAAGCTGGGTCTTCATTTGTGTTCGGGGAAAATCTGATCAATGAGGCCTTTGCATTTCAGGTCAGTTTATGAGTGTTGTCGATCCCACTGCATGGGAGAGAGAGCCAGCTCTTAAGTTCAAGATTCAACATTCATTATTTCTCACATACACAGTTATACAAGTGCAGCATGCAGTGAGGTGTACCGCGATTCAGTCCTGAGAGTGTGCAATAAAGTTTAGCAAATTACATTAAAGATAAATATGAAAAGGCTAAGGCAGTGAAAATATTTAGAAAAAATATATCCCAAATAACATTACAGTTATGATTACAATATCTGTACAGTGTTCAATACAATATAATAGAATACATACACATACATACACGTATTTGTATTGTAAAGTGCAGTGTGCTAGTTTGTTGTTGACGTAAATAGACCGAAGACATAAATATCATAACAGCAGGTGAGGTGGAGTTCCTCGAGTGTTTATTATGAACAGTTAAATAGCTGTGGTGGCATGTCCTGATGTGGTGGCATGTCCTGATGTGGTGGCATGTCCTGATGTGGTCCTCAGGATCGCCGGAGACCCAAAACTTTCTCAGCCGTCTCAGGTGGTAGAGACGCTACCTTGCCTTTTTAGACGGGACTTGTGTGTGTACAGTCCATGTCAGCTGTGACACCCCCACGGCCGTCTCTCTCTTCACCAGGCCTTGCCCATCGTTGTGTTCTTCAGCAGCGTAATGTCGGTCCTCTACTACCTTGGCATCATGCAGTGGGTCATCGCTAAGGTGAGCTGTAGCTTTCACGGGCCCGGGATGTTGCCGCTAACCCTGGGCGGTTGCAACGCTAACAGGACGTCATGTGATGCTTCTTTTGCAGATTGCCTGGATAATGCAGATCACCATGGGAACCTCCGCCGCCGAGACCCTGAGTGTGGCGGGAAACATATTTGTTGGCCAGGTCTGCTTGACTTTACGGCCGATTCAGTAACCTTGTTTCATTTCTAGTTCCGTGGAACGATCCTGTGTGGCTAATGTAGCTTCTCCAGTCTCTGGCGTGAATCTAAGGGTGTCGGTATCCCACGCTGGGCAAATGGCCACAGGAAATGAATAACCCAGGACACCTGATTTTACCTTAAATATGTTTTTCCCCCCAATTCCCTCACAGACTGAGGCTCCCCTGCTGATCCGCCCTTATTTACCACTAATGACCAAATCCGAGATCCACGCAGTTATGACCGGAGGCTTCGCCACAATTGCAGGCAGCGTGATGGGTGCCTACATCTCATTCGGGGTGAGTCTGTCCTTGAAGCCCTTCAGTGATTCTGGTCCCTCCTGTGTCTGTGATTGGTTGCCGTGTGCCGGATCCCGCGTTCTGTCCCAAGGTTTCTATGTGCTTGGCTCTCCTCCCTGCCCCAGATCGATGCCTCCTCCCTGATCTCCGCTTCCGTCATGGCTGCTCCATGCGCTCTGGCTCTTGCCAAGCTGTCCTATCCTGAAACCCAGGAGAGTAGCTTCAAGACCATGGAAAAGATCAAGGTGGACGCTGGGTGTGTGCTTAGCTGACCTCTGACCTCAGGAGGACAGCTTCTCCCGAATCCCTGGGCCCTGCAGCAGCTTCTGACTGCTGTTCAGTTCAGTGCATGATTCAATCTGAAGCTGAAATTTAGTTTTTTTTTTGTCAGAGGTGAACAGAACATCTTGGAGGCTGCAAGCAGCGGAGCCTCGGCTTCCGTAGTGATCGTCGCTAACATTGCCGTTAACCTGATTGCTTTCATTGCTATTCTGGAGTTCATCAATGCTACTCTTAGGTGGCTGGGGAGCATGGTGAGCTATCCTGAGATAACCTTTCAGGTACGGCCTGCGAAATTCCCTGTCCCGAGACACAAAATCAACCTGCAGGGGAAGACTTCACTTCTTATTGAAAGATTATCTGTTCCATTGTTAAAACAGTAACTGTTATGACTGAAAAACTGAGGGCTCACTGCAGTGGTTCTTCAGAGAGTTCAAAGAGTCGAGTGACATCTTGTGTCTCTCTTCTTTTGTCATGCAACTCGGTCCTGTAACACAGTGAGTCTCTGCACTTTCATTAGCGTGACACCTTGTAACACCTTTCTGCCCTAGTGGAGAAAAAATGATTTGCTATCACCTTCAAAAGTGTCACACACCTGAATGTTACAGAAACTGTTTCCTGATCTGGGTTTCTGGGTCGCTTCTGATCCGCATTCACACTGAGCTGTGCTCCTCTGCTGCTCTGCAGATGATCTGCTCCTACGTCTTCATGCCTGTGACCTTCATGATGGGCATCCCCTACGCTGAGGCCTTTGTCGCTGCTGAACTCATTGGCACCAAGCTGTTTCTCAATGAGTTTGTTGCTTACAAGAAGCTTTCTGAGCTGAAAAACAACAGGCTGAATGACACGGGGTCAGGAGGTCAGCTCCTATCGGTGCGTCCATCTCCGCGGCTTCTCGACGTCAACAGCGCTCTTCATTTTTGTTGCTGTTTCTCTGTGATTAGGTTCAGTTACTTTCCGTACCTTTGGTCATAGGCGTATGACAAAGGAGATGCTGAGATTTCAGCATGCTCCAGTGACCATTGTTTGGGTCCATCCCTCACATGTTCCAGTGAGTGCTGTTGCTCTGCCCCTCACATGTGTGTGTAACCAGCAGCATGTTATCGCTCCAGCTCAGGTCGGAGACCATCTGCACATACGCGCTCTGCGGATTCGCCAACTTTAGCTCCCTGGGAATCATGATTGGAGGCTTATGTGAGTGAAAAGGCTCCTCGTCTTTCTTCCATGGTCGGGATTAGAGCTAAACCCCCTCCTGTCTGATGGTGCACTTCTCTTTAAAGCCTCCATCTGCCCGTCCAAAAGGGGTGACATCTCCCAAGCGGTGTTGAGGGCCCTGCTGACGGGGACATGCGTGTCACTGGTGAATGCATGCCTCGCAGGTCAGGGTGCGCCGCTGCCACCACTGCTCGCACGAAGCCGTGAAAAAGGTTCTGCTTCCTCCCGGCTAACCTCATGTGTTCTGTAGGTATGTTGTACAATAGTCTTGACTGCATAGACGTGTTCAGGAAGGTGACCTTTAACAGCACCTCTTCTGACATCAATCAGTGTTGCACGGACATTTTCGGCAGGTAAGAATCTTTCGCGGCGGTCAGCATAGTGACACTGACTTCAAAGTGCATTTCCCAAAAGCTCCTGTGATTCCATCGCAGTACCCTCTGGAACGGGACGGCCATGGACTTCACTGGATCTTGGAACGGGGTGAAGAATGCAACCTTGTACTTCACCAACTGCTGCAACATTTACAACAACACCAAGTATTGCTGAGGATGCCTTCCTGGGACTTCAGTGTCACTGGAGGGGGGGGGGGGGGGGCACCTTCAGTATCAGCCATTCTCCTCACTGTTGGTACCACCTATATGGGGTCCCCTTGCCAGACCAGGGGTTTTGTTAATCACCACCATTGCATTTTCTGCATTAAATGTATTTCTGTAGAAGCACAATTGTTGGAACAATGAAATGTGATCATGTGTGACATTACAAGTATGTGCCATTTTAATTGCAGAAAGTAAAATTTTGACTTTTGCCACTGTCACCTCTGGCTTACTCACTGGGGGCTTTGGGCAGGGATGCTGTAAAGCGCTTTGAGACAATGTAATGTGAAAACGCGCTATACAAAAATAAATTTGTTGTTGTTGACAAAATTTTTTGACTGCTGAAGTCTGCCAATCAGGAATACTGAAGATTCACAAATGACACCATCACGTCTTCATTTGGTGTCTTCTGGAGAGATTTTGGCTTAAACAATGACATTACCATATATTATTGTTTTATATAGGCTTTGATTCACAGAACATCTTATCATTGCAAACAGCTATGAAAGTGTTGGAAGTGAGCTTGTATTAACTCATAACATTTACTAATCAGACATTTTAATATGTGGTCACTTTTCATAAAAATTGTACTATACCTTTGTTTTTATTTAACAGTGTCTTGTATGATGTACAATTTTTTTTTTAATTAAAAACTCTTTCAGAAACCACACATACAGAGAGGTTTTTTATTACATATATATAATAAATATATTTTATAAAGGTAATCATTTTGCTTACATGATACTCCGATTATTGCATTTATCTATGTATATCCAGCATTACATTATGATGTTATTTATAAACATTTTTTCTTTTACAAAGAGAACCCTAATTTCCCAGATTACAGCAGTGGTATGGGTACGGAAAACGTAGCCCTGCACACAGAAATGCACACGAAACAGCGTCACCCTAGAAAGCACAGAATCTGTGGCTACACAGACCCTAGAAACAGACAACCCACTGGGCTGACACAAACAGCCAGTCATTACAGTAAAACACCACAGGAAGTGACCTCAAACCTGCCCACACTGCAGGAAACACAAATCGATCTCAGTCCTTTTTCTCCACATATTGAGTTTCAGCTTTCTGCTTGGTAAATGACAGCCTGGGGGGTGTAGGCCGTACCCTCTGCCTGCTGCAATCGGTATATCGTGAGATTGGGTACATACAATGTACTGCCACAATGACACGTCACTTTCATCAGACAGAGTAGCCACAGAAAGGTGAATTTTACCAGCAGACATTCTGTAGCCAGCATCGGCCAGAAGATCCATGGTGACTGGATGCCCGCGCTCGTCAGCATGTGACTGGGACCATCACCGCACGAACTCCGGACTGAACCCAATCTGTGTCCCTTGCAATATTGAAAATGCTGCTACAGTTAGCAGGGCCTCCAGTACTCAAATGGATGAATCACGGGCGGAGGAATTGTGAGTAATTTTCACAGTGGATTTTAAGGATCCTTTTTGAGTTCAAAATCCATCACTTTACCTCATTATTGCTGGGGTTAAACCAACATTTACTGTCAACGTACAAACACCCAATCATGGCACTACTACAGAGATGGCCTTCATCTTCCATCTACAACACATCTGCTCCTCAGACATCTTAGAGGCTTCAGGTCCTGGTCTGTCCATAATCCGTCATCTCCATGGGTGCAGTATCAAAAGTTTTCATTGGTAGTCTACAGTATTGAAATTGTACCATTAGCCTTTAATTAATTCAATGCAGAAAGTCCGCATCACATGTGAGTGCATCGCACAGCTGCAGGCCTGTGGTTAGCTACTCTTAGGCGCCGAAACACCCTTTCAGCATCACGGAAAGCAGCTGTCCTCAGTCCCTCCAACTGAATCTACCGGAATGACAAGCGTTCAGATGCACTATGGCTTTCTACAGTTGTACACAGTTTCCTTGCTAAGAATTCCTGCATATTCAATAAATGTCAAAAATTAGTAACAGAAAAACCATGATGGTGACTCACTTGAAAAACCTCTAATAGTAACTTAAGTCTCCTTCCTTTCCGATTGCTACTAATGTCAGACTCACTGTGTTAAGTCTGCATTTGTGTGAAGATACCAGACAATCTCTAGTAAATCCCTTAGCTCAGTTCTCAGCTTAGAGCTCATGTCGAACACCAGAAAACCACTGGTGTCGGACAGATAAGGTAAACAAAGCTGAGATGCTAGCTTTGACTCAGTCTCTCGGTAACAGTCCTGTTTTACCTCATTCTGACAATCTTGGGGGGCTCCACAGTTTTATGTTTTGCTGTTGATTCTCCTGACTCTGTTTTCCTGGCTACCTTAGGGCTAGAGGTAGCTTTTCTGGCTGCCTGTGGGCTTGAGGACCCAGGACCCAGTTTCCGTCCCTGCAGGGGACTCCGGGAGCCCTTGGGCTTGGCTGGTGGCTGCAGGGAGTCAGTGGTTTTCAGTGAGCGTAGGCCCAAGAGACCACAGTACTGGTTACACTGGTGCTGAGCGACAAACTGCTGGAACAGCTGTGGCTTTGCAATATCTGAGAAGCCCTGATACCTGGAAAAGAGAGAGTTTCAGTCAGATTTGTCTGACCAGATGGATGGTTCTCGTTTCCAGTGTACCTTGTCCATATTATGATTTTTACACAAGGCGTAGTCACAAACAGACAGAATTACTAACCCCTTTGTTTTTGTTGCTATTCCAATGTTAGTTATCTTGTGATCCACTCCTACAATATAAAGAAGTCGAATTAAGTTCTTCATTGCCACAGAAATGATCTCGCATAGCTTTGTTAAGGAGCTGAGTCTTCTGAGAAGGCCTCAGCCTAGGAGTGTGTTACTGTACCTTCCAGATGAGTGGCTAACAGGTTGCCGTTGGTCCACTGGTGGATCCAGTGCTGGAAAGCACAACACTTCTGCTCCACCAGGGACACGTTTCTCATGATCAGCCGGCCTGAACTGTCCATCAGCGAGTACCGGAGAAACACACCCTTCAGGTCAGCCTCCACAGTGCCATAGGGCACAGAGTTAGCAGGCCGGTAAATCAGGTAGAGGGGAATGATCCTGTAAGGGAAGCAAGGGTCAGAATAAGCCAGAACCAAATCAGCTAGATCACAGTCCCCCTGAGCCCCCTCTGTGGATTTTTATTCCCAGAGCAGACAACGAGCTGAAAATAGCCAAAAGAGTCATCAGCGTCCCTCAGCTCCACAGCAGGCTCCCTTTTTAACATCAGCTTAGCTTGTGCTTGCGTGTGCCGACTCACTCCAGTGTCGGGCCGAAGCCTTCTATCAGCCGCGCTTCAGCAGCAAATATCTTACAGTATTCTCGAGCCATGTTCTGCACCTTGCAGTCCTGGAACAGGAAATATGGTTTTGCATTTCACAACATGGCCACACGCCCCTCATATTTCCATTAGGACCAAACACCCTAGAGTATTTATGTCACAGGCAAAAACAACTGGAGTGGTAACTCTGAAGAAGAATGTTTGAAGAAGTGCTCGCTCATAGGTCAAGGTTAGCATTAGCTAGGCAATGCATACCTCCTTGGTAATGTCTAAGTTTCGCTCAGTCAGATTGCTGTCCTCCTTTGTCCCATATGCAATGGGGTTTCGTACTTTGATGATGCAGGTGCTCCCTGAATCAAAGACGGGCTGTAATCCATAGATGACCTTTGCCCTGCAGGCCTTGTGAGTGCAGCTCTCTCCTAAGTGGGCCTCCTCTATCACAATACGTCCAAAGAACTTGTCTCCCCGGGACCTGGAGTCGGCCAGGCCTTTGTTGAAGACCATCGGTGTCATCTCCACTTCCTCCCCAACTGCTCAGGACAGACAGCAGAACAGTTACCCTCTAACAGGATGCACAGTGTGTAGAGGCATGGACAGTGTGGATCCCAGACGGATTGACCAGACCATTGGCTATGACGCCCTGGAATAGGTATGCGACACAAACAATCCCTGGATAACGTGTCTAGCCGCTGAAATAGAGACAATTGTAATTGACTTTGGGTAACTGTTGGGTGCATAATAATGTAGTGGTTGCTTTTTGTTTGGTCTTGGGTAAGATCTGTACATGCATTGATGAATGTGAGAAGGCTCGTTGCTCACTTCCCAGATCTTCTCGCAGGAAGAACTCTGACAGCACTGAAAAAAATAGAAGAGGATAGAGAAGTGTCAGCTACAACTTGACGACTTTGTCACAACCCAACATTTTAGTAGAAGTAGTTGAGTATCACATACTGTCTACACTGAGCAGGAAGTCCGTGGAGTCTGCCCCAAACTCGTTCTTGATTGAACAGTTGTACACCCCACAGTCCCTGCTGGATGCTTGGACGATGGCTAATGCCACCTGGGTCTCGTCTCCTGACCTGAAGAAAACAAAGGGGCTCAAGGAATGTTCCTTGTTAGAAGCTCCTCCAGACTCAAGGGGGCAGCACTGCACTATAATCTAGTATGGTTAAACCTTACTTGCTCACTGACTGTTCTTGTTTTTCTCCCAGCTAGCTACCTGATATTTATATGAATGTAACAATACTGTTTCTGAAAAAGATATAATTTAACATAAACAAAATGAGTTTGAGTCATGAAGTAAATTTGTTTTTGATGATATTCTGGTATTTTATGTGGGGCGTGCTGCATTGGTTCCACTGGCTAACTATACTTACACTTTACATATACCAGGTGATGTTGACGTGTTGGTAACCTTTTTTTTTACCCCTGAGACAGTGCAGGAATTACCTTCTGGTCACTTCCGCGATCTCAGTTTCGTCTCGGTACCACTTGATAGTGGAGTCGCTGAGCACGTTGAAAAACTGGCACCAAAGCTTCAAGTGTCCCGCTGCGTCAGGGAAAGGCTCCCCCCTGATCTTACGGATGACCTGAGGAGCTAGTGGAGAAGAGGCAGCCCCCCGTGGGAACAACGAGTTTGAGACATGCCCTTTCTTAAGTTTCCATTTCCTCTGTGGTCATGTTTAGCACTTAATTTTAGCAGCTAATCCTGATCGTCTGTGATCACCCCTGGCAAACACAACTGCTTTCATGAGAATGTTAATGCGGCATGAGCAAGATGATTAGCACATGCTGTTGAGATCCCAGTGGTGGGTATTGAACTCTACTGAACTCTTTCCATTCATCAATCCATCCACCTAGGATGGGGTGTCAACCCATCTCAAGGCACACACACCATTCACTTCCATGGACAATTTAGCAAGTCTAATTCACCTTAACATATTTTTCTACTGTGGGGGGATACTGGTACTCGGGGAAAACCCCACAACAACTTGGGCAGAACATGCAAACTCTACACACATGGAAACATGGCAGAGTCAAAATATCCACCCATCCATTTTCTGCAACCACTTAGCAACCTAAGTCAGGGTTACGGCAGAGTCTGAAGCCTATGGGCACAAGATAGGGAACAACCCAGGATGGAGCACTAACCCCTCGCTGGGCACATGCACACACATCTATGGGCAATTTAGTAACCCCGATTAACCTTAACATATTTCTGGACGTAGGGGGACACCAGAGTATCTGAAGGAAACCCCAGAAGGGAGAGAACAATAAGGCAACAGCTATAACTACTGAGCCACCATGCCACTCAAGCCCAAATATATATCTTGGATATGGACCCAAGGGTATTTCACCTTTGAAGGGATTCCTCTTTTGCTTCTCCGTGGATTTTATACTGGTCTCTGGATCATTAGTCTCTCCCGCTTTCTCCAGCTGTGGTGGTACATCGAGTGCAGCCTTCCTGCGAGTGACTAGGGGGGATCGTCTCTCTGGTGGGGGGGTCTGTGAGACAGAAGACCTGCGAGTCTGCCCAGGTGAACTGTAGGGTGTTTCCTGTTCCAGGGAGGACCTGCATCTCCTGGACATCCCGTCCCTCTTTGCCTGGCTGTCTGTCGTCGTGTTGTCCGCTTCCTCTTTGCCTTTGGGTATGAGGATTTTGCGGCGCGCCCCCAAAGCCAGCTCCACTGGGGTAGCTGAGGGGATGAGGCTCAGGCTGCCGGCCCTCCTCAGCTGGGGGCTACTCTCACCAGTAGCGGTAACTGCTGTGGTGTTCCTACAGCTCTGCTCCTCTCCCGTTCTCCCTGCAGGTATGGCACCCTCTATTTGAATCACAGGAATGGCTGTTGGCCCCTGAGTGTCCAAACAGGAAACCCCCTTTGTAGCAAATCGACGCTTCATTGTGGGACTCAGTGGAGGCAGCAACGGGCTTGTGGGTCTTGATGTTTTGGTTGCAGGTTCGTCTTTCTGAAGAGGCCCGTTATCAGGAAAGTCCGCTCTGCCTCCTTTGGGCTGGTCATCACTGTCTGCTTCAGTTACACTAAGGAGTGGGATTTTTCTGAGAGGGGCCTCAGGTGGACTCAGAAGCACACATGGAGAACTTGTTTGTTCAGGTGAGAGCATTTCAGTCAGAACAGCCCTAGAACGGAGTTCTTTTGGTTCCCTTGCATCTGGGTTCTTGTCAGTTGGCTTCAGAAGTGAACTGGTCTTCTCTTTTTTTCCTAAAGATGGAGACATGCTTCTGCCCTCTGTGTCAAGGCTGTTTTTGACTTCCCGGAGAAGGCTGATCAATGACGTTGAGTCCTTTGCTTCTGCTTTGGAACACCGATCATCTCCCGTGCGTGTAATCAAAAGAGGAGTATCCAAAGCGGTCACCAACTTTGGTACCTCCTCATGCATTGGTGTATCCACAGAAAACACTTCTATTTCAGGTGCACCTTCTGTTTCTCCAAGCTCACCATGATCATTAGTGGAGAATGTTTCTCTGGTACCCTCACTTAGAGTCTCTGTGGCACTGCCAGAATCTGTCTTTAATTCTTTAATCATATGTGTCATGTCTTCCACTACCCTTGGTGTTGGGGAGGTCGCTCCCTCCCTTTGACTTTTCAGAATTACTGCAGGGTGACTTTCAGTGTTTAGTGGCTCCAGGGCTATGTCTGGCTGTACCTGGGGCAGCTCCAAATATGACTGCTTAGTGACAGATGTGTTTTCACATGAGAGCTCACCACCATCATTAACTTGTAACAGTACATGCGGTGTCTTTAAATGCTCTTGGTCTTGTACATCTGGTATGAAAAAATCTATAATGGAAGGTTCTAGACTTGTTTCAGCAGATTCATTAAGTTCCACTTCAGGTTCTGTCATGCCTGTATCCATTTTAACATCTTCCTGTAGCTGTAGGTGTGGTAATTCCAGAGACATTAGTTTGTGTGTCTCTGTTATAGTACTGGGATCTTCCTCAGATGGAAGGTCTAGTGCTGGCTTGATTTCATTCTGCTGACTATCTGTCTTTCCTACCTCTTTTACATCAGCCCTCTCTACTTCAGTGAGGCTTGGTGTTGTGCTCTTCTCACTACTTTCCTCGTCACCCACACTTTCCTGAATTTCACTCGTGTTTTCCAGTGAGCCTTGGCTCATCGTTGGTGAGGTCATCCTTTCCGAAGCATTTTCCATTACACTGGTGCTTTCCACATTTGAGTCCTCAGACTGAGAACATTCATGCTGAGCCACATCACCGGAGGCCTGGCTCTGCAGCGTCTGGGCGTATTGGGTGTCCGCTTTGGTCCGCTCTTCAGGTGACCCGTGTTCATCCAGAGCACGTGAGACGAGGGATGTGTCTTGTTTAGTGGGTTCACCTTGGTTTTCCTGAAGTACAAAAAAGAGAGTTTCACTGTCCATTCACCACTGTGACCAAAAGCCTAATGTGACCCAAATATATGAAACAGCAGCCCGACCCACTGAGCACCTGTTTGGTCTGGGCAGGTTCCATGGTGTTTGGTGGGTGACCACAAGCTGCAGTCTTTACTAGACCTTTTTAATGGAGGAGAACTATAGTATGAGGTGTCTGACTGAACTGTATGTTGAAGACGGCATCTGCAAGTCTCTCTATACTCCCTCTGCTGTTCCTTCTCACTGCTGTTTTCAATTTTGCAGTGATTTGTTCATTCATATGATGATTTTTTGGAAATGGTATTAAGATCCATCAAAGATCAAATACAGAATGCAAATACATCAAAGATCAAATACAGTAAATAGAGGAATAATATCAAATATAGTTTCCTGTTCACATTCTCCATTGCTTTTGGTGCGATTGGCTCAAAATTAGAAAATTTCCAGATTTCCACCCATAAAATGTGTCATCTGCTGAGTTTGGGAAAGACTGGACACATTTTTGAGTTATGCTGACAAGAACAAGTGTCTGAGGCTTCTCATCTCTTTGCTGTTACTATGCGGAGCTGCTTCAGTTTTGGTGCAGTTTGTCCACATCTTCACCCTCACAACATGTCTGCAAAATTGGAAAAAGATCTTTTCAACATGTTTTGTTATCACTCTAATGGGATCCCCTGTCTGAAACTACCCTTTTTTTTTTACTACCACTATGAGGTGCTGCTTCAAATTTGGGGTGATCTGTCACAAAATGTAATCAGACTTTATCAGTTTTTCACCCATACAATGCCTCTGTGATGCGACGGCGATGCGATCCCAAAGCCATATGTATTCCCCATTTAGGGAATACAATTAATTATAACACCAACACAGTGACAGAATTCGCACTATTAATGGGGAATGATGATATTCTGGTGCGAGAATATGAAAAACAGTAGCCAATGGTGAACTTTCAAATAGTGTGAATCATACATCATACAGCAGGGTGGGAGATGAGAGTCTCGAGGTGTCTGTGTTACCGGCTCTCTCCACCCCAACGCTGTGAAGGTGTGCTCAGCTGCCAAGCTTGAACGTTTGCTGAACACCAGCTCAGACTTTCCCTGGTCGCGTGCTAAGAGCGCCTCTCACTATGTACCGTGGGTGAAGACCGCTGTCTGGAGGCGGGGATCTTCCCTCGCCTGGAGGCCATTAGCCGGGATGTTTGGCAGCTGCTGAGCTGCAGGAGAAATGCATCATTGAGGCTGGAGGCTAGATTGGGGCCATGGGGGGCAGGGGGGCTCATCCTGAACGGGACCCTAGCGTGTAAAAATGATGGCAGCAGACTGTAACTCTCAAACCAACACACCATTCCCCCTCCCCCAGGTATAGCTCCACCTCTCTGAGACGAGGGGAGAGGGGATTCCCCTGTTTTAAAATTTTCTGCTCAGGGGGAAGTCCTTGAAATGTTTGTGTGATTGTCTATTATCAAAGCAGGACACTTAGAACCTCAAAAGGGGGGGGCGTTTTCATTCAGTCATTCAATAGTGGCTAAACCAGAATGGACCAAAGCCCTGCCTGGTCTCGCCAGCGATGTCTCTGTTAGATGCCATGATCCTGACAGAGCCTGAAATAGAAGAACAGGCCTAAGGCAGCAGGTGGGGTCTCCCTAACCCCAAAGAGGAGCCACAGAGACCCTGACGCATGTTATAGCCAAGTAAGTCAAACAACCAGCAAAATTGTATGAAGGTGGATCTATAAGGACAGGGAACATTTTTATACTGTAAACTCCAAACTGTAAGGCTGCTAATGAACAGCATAATGAATGAATCGTGAATGAGCGTAGTAATTTTAGGATCTCATTCTTACAAGCTCACAAGCCATTTACAACCCTTTAACAACCATTTCCTGGTTTTGAAACAGACGTTTTGGATGTGAGTGACATAAAGAGCCCCCAAATAAACTAGGGCTTGATCATCACATGCAAGCAGTTAGAAATGAGCAGGAAGTAGTTTGTCGTATGAAAGGAGGCACGTCTCCCTTTTCAGGTTCTAAGTGCCTATTTTCAGTAACTGATGATGTCACAGGTTTTACGAGGAGGATCCCACCCCCCAACAGTAAAATTTTAAACAGGGGAACCCCCCCCCCTAATTTGAGCACCTGTGCTTGGCCCTGGCCTCATCATACTCCCCAGAGGCAGGCCGTGTGGTTCCGCGTGTGGACCGGGACCCCAATGGACCACAGCCCTGCCTGTTCCTACCACAGTCACTCTGATGGAAACCTTATACATTAGGGCTCAGTGGAGAGCACTACAAAGAATGGGTTTATTTTAAGGGGCTGAGAGGGACTGAGAGGGGCGGAAGAATGTGAGCTATGTAAAGTGAAGGGGAGCCATCCCCCTAACCCCCCCATCCCCATCGCCCCCCACCCCAGCCCTCCATATGCATGGCCTGCCACAGTCATGCTTGGGTAATGTTGTCTAAGGCCCACGGTGCAGCAAACCTTGCAGGCAGCAAACTCTGCCGAGACACATTTCGCTCCTCGGGGTCTTTTGGGAGCCGGATCTCCTCCCACTCACCACTTACATGGCTCTCATTTTACAGGACTGTGTTGCAGAAACAGCCATGAGGTCACGGCATGCACTGCACATGACTTACAGCACACAGCGCTGTGGGCAGGGCCTTTGCTGTGCTCTCTGTGCCGCTGCACGTTCCCTTTGGCGTGCTTTCCGGGCTGCTGCACGTTCCTTCCACCACCTGATCAGCTGCCGCCTTTTCTCCGGGTTCTGGTGCCGCGGGCGGAGACTCCCAGCCTCTTATCCCTGTAATTTCCTGGCCATGACTTCCAGGGGTCATACTGTCCTGTTCCAGTGAATCTTCATGGGGTTCTTGAGCCGATCCTGCGGTTTGAGGTTGTCTTTTTCCACCCATGACATTTTCACAGAGTGATTCTTCATTAATCTTTATTGTGGCTGCTTCCTCTGGTTTTTCATCCACTCCCTGCTGGGATGGGACAACTACTTCCATTTTCTCACCCCTTCTCACATCAAGGTCGTCCGCTTTTCCGAAGGACCCCCCTCGCTCTCCCTCCTTCTTGTTCGTGCTTCCGAAGAAAATGTCTCTCAGGGAGAAGAACATGGACGTTAGGGGTGACTGTAAGTTTGAGCCCGGGGTTTGCTGAGCCTCGGGGGCCCAGGGCTCCACCACAGTACTGGTCCCAGTGTGCTTGACCTCTGTCTCTGGCCACTTGCTGGCACATGCATCGGTCCCCCTGTCCTGCGCCTCGCTCTCCAGGGCCTGAGAGCGCAGGGATTCCGCCATGTACTGTGCCAGGCTCATTCTTCCCTCGCTCCCTTCCTCCGCGCTGCCGGCCTTGCTCTCGGACACGCGGGGCCCGTTCCCACTGTCCATTCCATTGCAGACATTAGTCTTCTTCTTGGCTGGCAGGTCCTTCCTCAGCTGCTTGGTGGTGCTGTTCTCTATGCCCTCATAGGTGTATGTCAGAGCCTGTTTGCTCTTGTCTTCCACAGCATCCGCTTGCACGGTTGTGCTGTCAGCTTCGTTATTTTCAGCAGGGAAGCCATTGGCTATCTCCGTCGGGGCCTCTGGCCCTGTGGCTTCTTGGGATTCATGGTCCAGCCTTTTCTCAGTCTGCCTGCCCAGTGACCACACCTTCAGCTTGTCCTCCCTGACCAGCTCCCCTGGAGACTGCTGCATCGCCTGCGAAGCCGCCTGCGAAGCCGCCTGCGAAGCCGCCTGCGAAGCCGCCTGCGAGGTCACCAGCCCGGCAGCACGCTGTCGCTCTCCTCCGCGACGAGCATCCTCCTTGCCACGCTGCCGCCCATCTTCCAGCTCCTTCCGTTTGCTCTCGGCTTTCTGCTTCAGCTTGGCAAAGAACCTCTGGTGGATCTGGTACTCATTCATGGTGCCCACCTCCAGCACGCCAGAGCAGGACACGATGCCCTTGGCGTTCCGGGCCGAGGCCTGGTAAATGGCGGCGTCTTCCTCTGTGCAGCTGCAAAGGCCAAATTCATCAGATTATATCTCCTGTCTGCTGAGAACGTAGGAGGGGTTAAAGGTCATTAAAACTCAGGCGGTCTTTCTTCAAATTTCACATTTCAAACAGAAACAGAGATCAGAAAAGGGGTCATGAAACACTTCAGAAAGGGGGGTTTTCCCACAGCTGGATCTCCGCACAGCCCTGTCTGTCCCTCACTTGTAAATATGGAGCGAATGGGTCTTCCCGTTGTGGAATATTTCATATTTTGGAAGGCCGCAGTACCGGTCCATCTCCACGTCGTCTTTATACCAGGTGAGCTCAGGCGGTGGGTGACCTGCAGGGGGAGACCTTGTGCGTAAAAGTGCACCTACAGCTCTCAGACACACATTATCCTTGGCTGACTTGTTTACGGCCCTTTTATTCTCCTTTGTCTTTAAATGACAAGGGTGGGGTGGTTGTTGTTTCAGGCCATTGCGTCACCGCTCTGTGATTGACATGCCCCCCCAACCCCCCTCGTAGCTTATTTCCACCCCAGCTGCTCCCTTGTTAGATTTTATTTGTTGCAGAGGGATCATGGTACCTCACCCTCTGCCAAACGGAGTCACAGCCTCAGACCTGCTGCCACCTTGGTTTCTCTGCCTCACATAACCTTCTAAAGTTACCCACAAAATAACCTGCCTGGCTGCAGGCACCGCATTCCTGTCTTTTAATCAGTGTGTCTTTTCTGATAAGGCACCCAAATATGTGCTTGCATAGATCCCTGAAGTACATGGCTTCTTCTCAGATGAATCAAATCTGATTATCATTAATTATAAGAAAATCTTTCATTGTATGACACACACACACGCACACACACACACGCAAACACAGGGTCACATGACATACAGGTGTCTGTACCTGTAACCACACATGTGAACTTCACATTGCAAGTTTCAGACACTGCCTTGGATTTTAAGGTGGTCTCAAATGACGGTTGAGTCTCCTCTGTTAACTGTGCCATCACGCTGCACAGCGTACTCCTGGAACAGAGAGAAGACCAACTTAACTGTGGTTCTCTCTGACAACAGACATGTCCATCATGTTTCAGGGTTTTAGAGGGAAAAACGTTCGGGACGTATTGATCATATTGATTCCAGGTGCATGTCCAGTATTAAATCACACAAATATAGAGTTATTGTTATTAATGTTTGATGTGTCAAGCGTCAATTTACAGGGAAGGGGGCACAGTGGTTAACACTCTAAGTTAAAAAGAAGGAAAAGATAAAGGTTTCGGGATTTTTTTTTAACTCTCTTGCTTAGATGTTAGAGTTTTAAATCCATTGCACCTTTTCTGTTAAATCAGTTCAAAATCTGTCAGGATGGACCAAGGAAATGAAAGGGATTCTTTTTGGTGTGAGCCAGCTGTTAGTTCCACCCGGTGTTGACAACATGTGAATTACCTCAGAGGTCTGTAAAGAGAAACCCTGTGACTGGAGAGGCTGGGCGGGAAAAGGCAGACAGAGGCAGCCGATCAGACAGGCACAACACGCCCTCCAGGGCTCTGAAAACAGAGCCTGCTGCCCCAGGCTTCTTCGCGACTGACTGGACTGTTGTATAGCTATTTTTAAACAGATAAGATAAGGGGAGGAACAGTGCACAGCAGTGGCAGTGGCCCCAGTGTAGGTGGCTCACTGGTTTGGCTCTGGCCGTTTCCCTGCAGCTGGTGATGTGTAGGTGATGAAGCCTGCCACTCAGAACCGCCGATTAGCTCAGCGCTGGCAGTTCATATAGTCCGTGTCAGTGCCAATGTACGATACTCAAGTCACGCTAACGTGCAGGAATATACATTTATGCTGGATAAAATGGAGCCAGAATGAAGGACTGACCCATAGAAGTTTGGGTTTCAGTTCAACTCGACATCACAACCCCTACAGTAAAGCTGAGCTCAGAATCACCCAGTTCAATCAGTCCGCAATATACGCAACAGCGCTGGCACAGAAAGAGGAACCCGCAGATGTAAGGATTTATATACCTCCATTCTGTTAAGAAAAGAACATTACATTTACATATATTAATCAGACGCTTTTGTCCCAAGCAATGTGTAAGTGAGACAAACACTACATTACAAATATACAGGTGTTGACACCATACACTAAGAAACGCACTGGATACAAATATTAGCTGGTGATTTTTATGCTGGAGATTTATTCTAACGGTCGGCCGCTGTTTCCCAGTTAAAGCACCCAGCCCATCCAGGGCTGACCCCTTCCCCAGTCCAGTCTCCTGATGCCTCCTATCTGCTCTCTGACATTGGGCAGGTATTGTATTATTTGGGCTCAACTTTATATGCTGATTTTAAGCTTAATGCTTACATGCTATAATTTAACTTTACCTTAAAAATACTTACAGACAAAAATGTTATGGAATTAACATCTTTTGACTATACTTTGCCACAGTATGATTTAAAACATCGCCCCCTACCTGCTCTCCGACCTGACACTAGGCAGGTAGCCTCGGCTATCGCCGCGGCTGCCCTGAATGAGGGCCTCCTCCCCGTTCAGGCTGCCGGATCTCCCGTTTCCAGAGTAGGATCTGCTCAGGGGTCTCCGGGAACCCATGTCTCCTCGGGGTGGCTATCGCTGCTGCTCTGGCCCCCCGAGTTTAGTGGCAGACTGGGGTGTGCTTTGCTGGATGAAAGCCCTTTGGGTTTCGCCCCAGGAGGATTCAGCATGCAGAGGCAGTGTTCTGTATTTTAAAGGAAGAAGAGACAAGGTTGCACAGACCAGAGTGACACAGAAACCACCAAGAGGACCCTGGGCCCCGCGTTCACCCCGTGGGTCTCCCGCGAGCTCACGACACCTCAAAAACGTCTGCAGAGGAACAATCCGGGCAGAAGCAGCCAGCTCACTTGAAACGGCTGAGCGCCTCTATACAGTTAAAAATAGATTTTACTTACAGACAAAAGCAATGATTCTCAGATTGAGCCTTTTCCATTCAAAGAGCTGCAGTCAACACGCCGAGTCCCAATGCGGCCGATCGAGTCACACTGTCTGCTATTTCCCAAAGACGCCTCTTCAGAAACTTACCGTCGGCTCTTTCCCGGTGTCCTTCGGAGCCCTGCCACCTCCCTGCAAGGCTCTGCAATTGTCAGTCAGCTTTGACCACACGTTGCCTAGGACGCTATTTATAGACAGACCTCAAATAGGCACAAGCAAACATTTTTCCAAAACCAGCTTATAGGCCGGCATATACGGCAGGGGCACCAAGGCACCAGGCGCAAGGATCACGCTGAAAAGCCAAACGCACGATCGCATCGACTCGCCACTCACTGGGCAGTTATTTGTACTTTAAGCTGTTAGCTGAAACCATCCGCGCAAATAGATTTTTAGTAAAGTTTGATTCAGTGGTGTAAAGTACCTGGCCCTCTGAGAATTCTCTAAAAAATGGCATCCAACCCAGAGAGATTCAGTTTCGTCTAATGAACTATCCAATAAAAAAAATCCAGATACATAGACTGTGCCTTTGGGGATTTCTGTTATAGTATTTTATATGTTTTATATTGTATGGAGTTAACCTATAAACCTACTGTCTTAATATCATTCTGAGAGACCACGTTAAACTTTTTTTTCCCTGTAAATCTTATCATGTAATAGATTTATAACACACTACACAACCAGGCAAATATATTTTCAGTAAAGGAAATGTTTAGTTATTTAATGTTTTACAATTAATGATCTATGATGTTATTCTAATTAAGAGCATTAAGTATCAGGTTTTGCAAATAATAGACCGTTGCCTATCGCGGTGGAGAGCGTTACTATACACGTCGTGTGGACATCGATCATTTGACAGCTCAGAGACGCGCCTCGCAGTGACAGCGGCGGAGCGGAGCGCTTAGCGGGCGGTAAGTGCGCCCTCGCACGCTTGATGAGCAGCTGCACTGTCCGCAAACTCTCAGTTGATCGCTGTTGGGATGGAAGGGGGACGGAGGAGGCAGTGCCGTCTCTCTCTTCCCGGGTTGGTGGCTTCGCGGGCTCTCTCCCTCCTCTCTGGCAATTCTGTACCCTGCAGGTAAATTTTAAAGCTGAAAATGATTTTCGTCTGTGTGTTGAGGGTCGCGTAGGGTGCGCCATATCAGTGCATTGGGACAGATACGACTCGGGGATTCGCGGCTCTTTTCGGGCTTTTCCTCAGAGGACCGGGTTAGTTTCTCTTTTTAATAACAGTTGCACTACAGTAATTGTTTCTTTTCCTCTTGCTTTTGTCTTGTTTTATCATGTGTTGTTTGCTTGTTTTAAATAATCTGATAGTTTCATGATAAATCTTACTGTAGTGTGTGTATTATTCGGCCTCAACTTAATGTGCCGATTTTAAGCTTGATGCTTACACGTTATAACACTAATCTTTACCTTAAAAATACCGACAGACAAAAATGTTGTGGAATAAACGTCTTTTGACTATACTTTGCCGCAGTACGATTTAAAACAACGTTTTAAACTTGTTTTGAATACTTATTTGATTAATTAACTTAATATGGAGGATATGCACCGCCGTTACTTTCTACAACCCCGTTTACAGAAAAGTTGGGACGCTGTGGAAAATGTAAATGAAAACAGAATGCAATGATCTACAAATCACCCATATTTAATTGACAATAGAACAAAGACAACATATCACATGTCGAAACTAAGAAATCTTACTGTTTTATGATAAATATACATGCTCTGCAGTTTGAATTTGATGTCAGCAACACGTTTCACAAAAGTTGGGTCAGGTGTAAAAAGACTAAAAATCGTGTAATTCTAAAACAAAAACAAACAACAAAATATAAACAATAAAATTTCTCAGTTCTATTTTCAATTAAACATGGGTTTATATGATTTGTAAATCATTTAATTCTGTTTTTATTTGCATTTTAAACAGCATCCCATCTTCTTTGGAAACAGAGTTGCAGGAAGACTAAATCTATGGTCAGAAAACAACTTTCGTTTTACCAGACACACAGGAAATAACAGGTGTGTTTTATATCTTTGGCTGTTATAGTGTGTGGCTTAGTGGACTAAATCTGTGTGCGTGTGATTAGAAAGTTGCTGGTTCAAACCCAGCCACAGCATATCTATGGGTCCTTGAGCAAGGCCGTTAACCCACAGCTCCCTGGGTTGGTGATATACTCTACAAAAAAGAGCAAGTTGAGGGAGGTTTAACGACAATTTCCACACGGGGATCAATAAATTATTGATTATTATTAGGTAAAGTACAAGGCTGGGCTTACGTCAACACTCGGGTGTTTCTTAAACACCTTCATTTTAATGTGCACATGCAGAAACCGTTTAATGCAAATGTAGTTCAATCTCAGTTTTGCCCATCATAGCTATGGATACAGCTAACAACCCATGCAATCTCCAAGCTAACCAAACCGAAGGACCTGTTAAGCCTTGTTCTCATATCCTGCTAATGTAAGAGTCTGCTCTGACGCCTCAGAAATTGTCTGTTTTACCTATTTTTGGATTAATAAAGCTTTGGGTGTCTGTGTTATTTAGACTATAGACTGATAATTAACCTGACTGTTTTTTTTTTTGTTTATAAACAATCGTGTGTTTCTATCTATCATAGGATGTAAAGCAGTGATGACTGGTGGACTGAACTGAGGACAAAACCATGATCAGTGGTGTGCATCTACATCTGCCCCCATGGTTTCCCCCATCACCGTATCCCTCATCATCTCCCTCTGTCACCATGTCCGTCATCATCTCCCTCTGTCACCGTGTCCCTCATCATCTCGCTCTGTGACTGTGTCCCTCATCATCTCCCTTTCCAACTGTGTCCCTCTTCATCTCGCTCTGTGACTGTGTCCTTCATCATCTCCTTCTGCCACCATGTCCCTCATCATCTCCCTTTGTCACTGTATCCCTCATGTTCTGTCTGTCAATGCGTCCCTCATCATCTCCCTCTGTCACTGCTTCCCTCATCATCTCCCTCTGTCACTGCGTCCCTCACCATCTCCCTCTGTCACTGGATTCCTCATGTTCTCTCTGTCACTGCGTCCCTCATCATCTCCCTCTGTCACTGCGTCCCTCATCATCTCCCTCTGTCACTGTGTCCCTCATAATCTCCCTCTGTCACTGTGTCCCTCATAATCTCCCTCTGTCACTGTGTCCCTCATAATCTCCCTCTGTCACTGCGTCCCTCACCATCTCCCTCTGTCACTTCGTCCCTCATCATCTCCCTCTGTCACTGTATTCCTCATGTTCTCTCTGTCACTGTGTCCCTCATAATCTCCCTCTGTCACTGCGTCCCTCATCATCTCCCTCTGTCACTGTGTCCCTCATAATCTCCCTCTGTCACTTCGTCCCTCATCATCTCCCTCTGTCACTGCGTCCCTCACCATCTCCCTCTGTCACTGTGTCCCTCATAATCTCCCTCTGTCACTGTATGCCTCATCATCTCCTCCTGTTACCATGTCCATCTTTCTCTGCATGTCTTCCTCTGTCCCTCATGGTCTCTGTGTCTGTGTGTCTCTCCTTGTCCAGTTACACATTTAAAAGATTTAGGTTTTTTTTCCTGGTTTTTCTCACACTCTGTGAAAACGACATGTTGTTTTTCAGAACTCCTCATTGTGGAGCATCCTGTATCTGTGTGCGTCCCTCCGCAGTACACGACCACACTCAGTGTCCGCGCTGTGGGACCAGGAACCTTGCAGTACCAGTGGTTCCAGTCAAACCAAAGTGAGGTAGGAGCATTCTCAGCTTTGATTTCACCATTTCCTTCTGCTTGTTTACGTCCAGAATGAATGCTCCTTTATGCATCAAAATGTTTCAGGTCCCGGGAGCCACTTCAGCAGACTTCGTAGTCCAGGCTCGAGGGAGCCAGCAGTATGCGTGCCGAGTGAACGATCAGCAGAAGTGCGTGTTCAGCCGATGGGTCAAAGTCAAAGTCATGGAGAGCGGAACGCTTAGTATGTTTCTCCTCTTTCTAAACTGAAAGTGATAGTGCCACTTCTTATGACTACATGAGTCTTTGTGCAAAGAAATCACCCTGTAGCCAGTCTACATACCCAGACTGTTTCTCAGCAATACAATCTTTGTAGTCATGCTGTGATTGCTCAGATTTTCCTGTGACGTGTGATCACTGTTTCAGATAAATTGACAGTCAGTGAATGATCAACACTTCACCGTTAGCAGTGAGAGACATGCTTCATGGCAGCGCGGGTTCATTGAGAAACTGGCAGGTTAGCCAGTGACGCGAGTATGGAGTGTCACACTATGTCACACCATGTGATGGTGCCTCTGGTGTGAACCCTGCGAATCACAGGAGTGGATTTCACATTTTCTCAGAAAACAAAAGTCACAGGTGACATAAACCCTGTGAAATCCCATACAGCTGTCTTCACGGTTTAGGCCTGATTGCATTTGGATGTTTCTGTGCGACCCATCAGCCCTGTTGAGCTCATGAGTCATCATGCTTGGTGACTTCCAGGTCTCCCTGGGGGATGGAGCGGAGAGCCCCATATCACCGAGAACCCAAATCCTCAAAGGCTCTCTGTGGGGGGAACCGCCAGGCTGTGCTGCAGGGCCTTTGGGATTCCCGCCCCATGCTACCAGTGGTACAGGAATGGAAATGTCCTACAGGGGAAGACAAGGGGCATCCTGAAGGTAGGACAGATGAAGAGTAACATGCGGCAATAGCGTTTGCTTAGTATGTTTCTGGCTGACTATCCTATCCAAATGGCCAGAAGAGGGCGAGATTCCTCTCTCCTCTACAGAATGTTCCAGAGAGACGCCCTGTCATCCTCCTGGTTGTACTGTCTTGTTCTCTAGTCTCTTTGGTTCACTGTCAGTTTTGAGTGTATAATCCCACGCTCTGTGGGCACTTTACAGATCGAGGACGTGAACAGAGGGAGTGAAGGCTCGTACCTGTGCGCCGTCTCTAATGCGCTGGGGGAGCAGTGGACGGAACCGGTGGACGTCTGCATAGGTAGGGCCCCGCATGGTGGCTCAGAGGGCAGAGGACCCAGGGGCGTTGCTAAAGATTTTGGGCCCCATGAAAGCATATCATATCGGGCCACCCAGTCCAGACCAATCCAGGTATTTCCCCCCTTACGGCGCCCCTGAGAGGCTGCCGTCCGTTGTTTGGTCTCCGCCTTATGAAACTTTATCGGCCATGTTTAGGGACTGTAAACACTGACTCAGTTCAGTGCTAGTGGGTATTACCATGTCAGGTCAGGACACAGGGTACTTTCCCCGGCTGCTGTTTGTAACATCAGGAAGGCTGTTTGGTTCAGTCAGTTTAACTGAGGTGATATCATGATATTGCAAAATGCCTCTTCTCAAATCAGTCTAAGCAGGAGAAAGTCGGGGAAGGTGCTGTAGATAAGGAGGCGGAGGTGAGAGCAGGAGGGTACAGGTCATGGGGCGGCCAGCTTCCGTGCCGGCGCCTCATTTGCGGTTCCTTGTGTTCTGTGTTAAGCGTGTGAAGAGTTTGCGAGAGTCGGGCCCCCACGCGCTGCTGGGCAGTAGCCGGAGGGGGGGAGATCTGACACACTGTCTCTCTTCTTCTGTAGCGCTTCCTGGAAAACCCACAGCAAAGACTCTCTCTGGTAAGCATGAAGAAGGGCCTTCAGAGAAGGCCGACGTCAGCACAGGATGCTCACCCTCGACTCCGTTTGAGTGAGAAAACGAGATTCCGCTGCTGTTTATCTGGAACTCGTGGTTAGAATGTTAGAGGAAAAGCAAACCTGTTTTCAGTCAGACATGCTAAATGCGCTTCTGCTTTATTACTTTAATGGAATTTAAACAGCTGCATAGAGCAGGTTGCTGTGGGGGGGAGGGGGGGGGGCTATTTCACAGCCCTTATTAGTTCATTAATCTGCCCTCCACCCCCCACCCCGCTCTTCAGCCACAGACAAAGTGGCTCTGCTGATCGGCAACCTGAATTACTCGCACGTGTCCCCGCTGCTGGCCCCCATGCTGGATGTGTACGAGCTGTACAGTCTCCTGCAGCAACTGGGCTTCAGGGTGGTTTCCCTGCTGGACCTCTCCAAGGCCGAGATGCTGGCCGCCATTGGCAGGTTCCTGCAGCTCCTCAGCCGCGGTGCGTATGGTGAGTCCAGCGGCGGCTACGTGACGCTTGGGGGGGCTGGTCCTCCAATAAGTAGACAAGGCCCCCTCCCCAAGAATTCTGCACGTGCTGTGATGGATTCCCTTGCAGATCCCAGAAGGTAAGACAATTTGAAAATGAAAGTCTGCAGACAGAGCAGTCGCCGCTGACAGTGTAGGTGTCGCGTGATGGGAAACAGTCACAGGACGTGACCCGTTTCCCGGCTTCTGCAGGCCAGAAGATGTCAGGTTGACTGAAGGAGAATCACTGCGCTTTCCTGTCTTCAGCCTGAGCCGTCAGCATAGTGCGTTGTTAAAGGCGTGTTATTTAAAGCGGCCCGTATCTGCGCGGCCTCCTGACTCCGCCCTGATGCTGGGAGATGACCGGGAAGCAGGAGGGGTTTGTTTACATACAGCTATGCGCCGTGCTATGTATAGCCGCGTGTGGAATGTGTGTATGTGGGGGGGGGGGAGGCATGGGTGTTTCGGGGGAGGGACGATGTCCAGGGCGTACTCCTCCACTCACCTGTGGTTAATTATACATCCTGGGTTTTACATCCTGTGGGTTGAAGGTAGTGGACAGAAACTGTACACAGTATTACCAGCTGTACTGTCCGACAGAATAATATCAGTGTTTAAGGAGAGGGCTGTGTCTATGACTGACCTGCAGGGGGCAGTGTGGAGCATGTGCTCAGATGTTTACTACAGGCCTGTTAGAACCAGTGTGTTGCTTTCTCTCACCCTCAGCCCTCTTCTACTATGCGGGACATGGGTACGAATGCTCGGGGAGGAACTACCTGGTGCCCACCGACGCGCCGCGGCCATACCGACCCGAGGACTGTGTCAGCGTGCAACGGGTGATGCACGGCATGCAGGAGAGACACACAGCGCTCAATGTCGTCCTTCTGGACACCTGCCGCAAGTGGTATGTTCTGTGCAGTTCCTCCTGGGTTTCAGACCGGACCGTCCCACCTCACTGCTGGGATGTGATGTTTCATAATGATTCTATTTAAGTTTCGCTTCTGGTTGGAAGAGTGCATGTACTCAGCCTCACAGTGGATCTTTTTGCTCTAAGGTACAACCTGCACTGTGTAGCTTCTCTGATCCGTTCTCTGGCTCCTCTGGGGAACACGGTTTACGGTTATGCCACGTAAGTATCGTTCGGACCTGCGGGGGCTTGTGGGGAGGAGAGTACTCCACGCCGACCACCATGTGGCGCTATTGCAGGTGTGAGGACGCAGAAGCTTTCGAGGTGCAGGACGGAGAAAGGAGCTCCAGCATCTTCACCAAGTACCTCAACCGGCACATCCTGCGGGCAGAGAAGGTCACGCGTGTGCTGGAGTTGGTCTCTGAAGGTCAGAACCTTCACTGAGGTCCATCACCTCCACCTGCTGCTGCTGGTGCAAGCGACCTCACCATGGCATGCAATGTAAATATCACCCGCAAGAACGGGTGGAACAGACCAGCGAGGATCGAAGTGCAGCTTCCCAGTTTGTTCTGTTGAAGCAGTCAGATAACGTCACTTGAATTTATTTCCTCTCAGTAATGTTGTTGGCACACGAGCTGTGTTTCTACAGGGACTCATCGCGATTTTTGTAGGCACGTGTGACATAATTGCTGCTGCCTTCCTTCTTTGTTTGGGCTACAGAGAGAGCCAATTGCCAGCCTGTCAGGCAGCGGCAAGCCAGCCCAGTCTCAGCCCGTGAGGTCCTTCATGCAGTTGTTCTGTTGTGAGTCGGGTCTCTTTAGAAGAGCTCTGGGAAACTGTCCCATGTAAGCTGTGACCTCATTCCCTGGAAAGTCACATCGGTCCAGGCTTCCAAACAGCAGAAACCAGAGCGCGCAGGGCACAGGAACAGCTGCTTCTCTCGTGTGCCTCGCCCCCGTCTCCCCCCCACCCTTGTCCCAGACAGTGTGCCCTCTTTATGGCTCTGTCCAACACATGTAGCTCTTGGACCGCAAACAGCAGTTAGGAGTACAAGAAAAACCTGAGAAGATTAGGGGGGGAAGAGCTGTGAACCGCTGAAGGGCAGACAGCTCGCCTTGCGGCTGCAGATATGTCAAAACAATGGGTTTGTAGGATCGTGTCTGGGGCTGAGGTCACTAAACCTGGCTGCACACTATTGGGAAGGTTTTCCATATTATATTACATGATTATACCAACATAACTCAATACATTGTGGTTCTGGAATATTCCAGACTGTTACAGGATGAAAATAGATTCTATTTGACCATTTGGAGGGGATGTGGGAAATGGTGTCTTTGGGCTTTTAGGACTGATCACATGAACTAATGTTTGATTATGGCAGGGTTGCGCAGTCCTGGAAGGTCAGAATCTCTGCTCAAACACATCTTAATCAGCTAATTACCAGGAATATTAGGTGTCTTTGAGCAGGGAAATCTGCAAACTGTGTTGGATTCTGGCCCTGTAGGACCAAAATTGGGCAGCCCTGGTTTATGGCTTCCAGTCTAGGTAATGTGTCCATTCCAGTAAAAGTAGAAACAGTGTGATTTTTCATAAAAGTGTATTTCCTCACTGGAGCCCTGTGGGCAGTACATGTCTGTTAAGATTACTTTTATGATCTGTTTTAAGTCACAAAGTAGCAAGTCTGTGTGTCGGTGCAAGAATGAAGTGAGTGACTTTGAGTTTCTGCTCGCAGTGACCACGGGCGGTCTGGCCCTTTGAGGTCAGCCCACAGAGCAGGCTTCCTCACAGAGACGCTTTGATCTTCAGCCTTGTGGTGCTCATGTGGGGGATCTGACTGATTTATAAATGGAAAAGGGGGCCTAGATGAACTGACAGGAGCAGAGTGAAGACAGCTCTCAGTATCACCGCCCACGTGGGTACTGGCGTCGATCTGGCCTGTAGTGAACCAGTTAACGACATGCCGGAAGGTTCTGATAAGCAGCTGGGCCTTGTGAAAGTCAGCAGGCATAATTATTAACGAGGTGGTCTAAGTATTACTGGTATCTTACTGCACCAGAATCAGGAAGTGGAATCTGATGAAGATCCGATGTATTGAGCAAGTGTCTTACAAAGGCTGCATTCAGAGGCTTGTTTGGGCAGCAGGTGGGGCTCTGTGTAGGTATCAAGTACCAGTTTCGTTTGTGACTCTCTGCAGATCTTGGTAGGGATCCGCTGGTGGCGGGGAAGCAGGTGATGGAGATTAGACACACCCTGAAGGACCCGCGGGCTCTCACAGATCCGATTCGGACCTCGGGACACACTCAGGAGCTCCAGATCAGGGACCTGTGCTGGATCCTGGCCAACGGTGAGACCCGTGAACATGTGTGCAGGGAGCCGTGGAACATGGTCGGGTTGACCTCCAGTGCAGGGCGTCTGGCTCTGGGCCAAACGTCTTTAGCACTGCAGTGTCTAGATTCCTCAAGCTATCGAGACGGGCTTTTTCCATTCTGTACACCTGCTGTGCGCAGAGGGAGTTTCACATGAAAACTGTGCTGTGGGAAATAGGTTTGCACTTATTAGATATGGACACCTGGATTCTTTGAGTTAATCTGAACAGATACGATAATTAAATGTGCAAATGCCACCTCTGGCCTGGCACACACAAACTGTATGACTGGCTTAGGAAAGCTTAAAACTTTAATAAATTCTGATTATTTCTTTGAAAGTTTTTGAGCGATGACAATAAAAAAAAGTCATTTGGCGGAGTAGTTAAATTGGTGTAGATGGAGTTACATCTTTTACTATTATTTGACATTTTAAAAGACGGCAACCAGTCTGAAGAATACAAAGTTTCCACTCGGCATAAGAGTATCAGTTCCCCAAAGTCTCCTTGTACGCACTGCACATACGCTAAATGAGTGTGTTGCCTACTAAAAATAGATGTTATGCTGGCTTGATTTGGTCCAGGGCCTGTTGTGTAACAGGGGGAACCCCTATAAGCGGCTGATTCAGGCAACTGTCTTCACATGCATTGACATGTCTTCCCTGCGCGTGTAGCATCTCCAGGACACACCTCTTTACACATCTCCCTGATTACACATCTCCCTGATAACCATGCCTGTCTGACTTCCTCAGAGTTGCCACGGTGCCAGTTGCTAACGTTTGCATGTGGCGTCACAGTTCAGCTCAGCTTCTCCGCTCTCTTCTCCAACGTGGTTGTCGTCTTCGCCAAGGTGAAGGCCGTCGGCCCTGGAATCGTTGACTGCACCATCCGCTTGAAGACATCGCCTGTAAGGCTGGTCCTCGTGTGGTTCCTCTGTGCTTTAATGTCTTGTCCTTTCTCTCTTGGTGTACAGCCACAGATGTATGCACAGCTAAAGCTTTCGCAGTTCTGGTTTCTATGTGATGCTATGTGTCACCCGATTTTAAGTTGACAGGTTAACAGCGTTAAAAGCTCAAAGCTTATGATAAATCTCACTTTGTTATCCATGGAGGAAAAATCAAGAACATTTTTTGTTATTTTGACATTCACATCCACCACATATTTTTGTATTTGCTCATACCCCTAACTCACTAGATTTTTTGTTCTGTTGAATGTTTTCGAAATGCTCGCTGGGAATCATATGCCCACACTGCACCACACCGGCCATTAACCACATAAAACAATGAACGATGAAACTTTTCTTTTTTTTTTTTATTAATGCAATAAAATTCTTGTGGAGTTCCCCTTTCAGAAGATTAGCACATACTGACCTCTGCAGGAGAGAAAATGAAATGTATTCCTTTTAAACCTTTATCAAGATAATGTATCAATAAATAAATAAAAATGTTAACTGTGTGTGAGCTTTGTAATGTTTGAGGCTTTTTCCTGCATGTGTCCGGAGAGGAAGCTTTCCTGAATGTCCAGTCTCTGTCTCTTCCAGGTAATGGGAGACATTTTCCCCAGCCGACATGGTTCTGACTCTTTAGACAGAATGGGCTCCTTGTGGTTTGGCAGTAACGACAGACCAGCCTGCAGTCTCAGGTTCTGCGGCCTGCAGAAACTTCAGGTACTTACAAAGTGTAAACTTGTTCTTTGCTTAGGGTAGATTCAGGTCCCAGGTTAAGCTTGCAGCAAACCTAAATTATCACAGAGAGTATATCAAGGGGGACCTGTACAGGGGAACTGTAACTGAACTGGTGTGTTGGTCCTCAGGAACCCTTAGTGATTACGGTGGATCTGCATTACACAGACTCTCAGCAGAGATTACGTCTGTCTGAGAGTCTGAAGCTGGATGTCGGTCTGCCCCTGGTGGCCCTCTGGGGGCAGGGCCACCTCAAGAAGAAGGCAGAGGGGACTAGCAGGCGGCAAGACACTCCTCGCCACCATGTAGACCACGACGCCCCACCTAGACAGCCATCCAACCCGCCTGCCGTCCACTGTGATCATCCATCCACCCAGGTGTCACTGAAGACCTGCAAAGGTGTGGCCAGACACCACCCCGGACATTTGATGGACAAACACAATGAGCCAGAAGAGGTCGACGAGAATGACTTTTTGGAACATTTTGGGAAAAAATGTGCATCATGACGGCAAAACCACAGCAGCCATGTTGGTTGGGATTCTGCACTACAAACATCCCAAACGCAGGTGCTCTGTTAAGTTCTCATTGGGACCAATTTGAAACATATATACAATGTTGGGGAAGTAGCCCATTACAGACATCCATCGGTTGGAAAGTTCAGGTCCAGAAACTACAAATCCAGAACAAGGTTTTGTTTCAAGCTACTAGTTGAGTACTTTGTCAGTGTGACACTTTATATTCNGTATAAAGAGTCACAGTCACAGAGTACTCAACTGGTTGGTTGAAACAAAACCGTGGTCTGGATTTGTACTTTCTGGACCTGATCTCCACCTCTGTCTGTAATGGACCGATGTTGTATAAATGTGGTGTATTAGTGCCACTAGCATTACTTCTACTTTAGATGATCCTCGTGTTAATGAGCTCACTCTGAAGGTATTTCACATGCTGGCGATCTGTTGCTGTCGGTGCATTGATGGTCTGACACATATTTCCATAAGAAATGTTTTAATTAATTTTTTTTGCCAAATCTTTCATAAAATATTTGATTCCTTTTATTTTTTGAATGACTTTATTAAAGTTTAAAATAAACCATGAAGCTTGTTTCTGAAAGTAAAATCATTTTCGACAAATCACAATTTCTTGTTTTAAATGAGCCATTCGTCAATATGCATTAATTAATAAATTAGTCGCTACTGTTGGGGATTCCTCTTGAGTGAAATACCTATTTAGAAGCTAGCTGCACCTCCTGCTTCATTTGCATGCCGGGTTTTAACTAGCGCCTCGGTAGCTCGCCGTGATCGTATAGTGGTTAGTACTCTGCGTTGTGGCCGCAGCAACCTCGGTTCGAATCCGAGTCACGGCATTGTCAGACAATGTCACGGCATAAGGGCGACTTTATTTTTTAAGAAAAGCATTTTGCATCGCTGACCAGATAGATATGTATTATTCAGATACTCCGTCCTATACGAAGTTCGTGCACCCAACACCGCCTCCTTGAAGGCACTGATGTACTTCAACCTAACAGCTCCGCTAATGTACGACATCCTGCGAGGTCCTCGGCGTTCCTGTAGAGGGCAGTGTTGCAGCACCAAGCGGGCTGTCTCCTCACTTGTGGCGCAATGCCCAGTGTGATTAAAATACGTTAATGCATTTACTGCGAAGGGCAACTTTGGCCATCCTGGTGTTGGAAAGAAGTACAGAGATGAATTAAGCTATTGAGAACCTCTGAAGCATGTGTGACCATACCATCTGAAACGTTAGATGTCTCTTTTTTCTGTTGAGTGAGGTTCTCCTAGTTCCCCACTGGAGCGTGAAACGTGAACAAAGCCTTTGATCATTTTAAGTAATGCAAAAAAAACCCCTATCATTTTCTAAGGATGTAATACAATTTCAAGTACAGTTGACACGTTTTGTTCTTGGCCATGACGTCTGTGATAAGGTCCACTTTCGGCGAAACATTAAACGAAACGAATCTTACAATTCCTGCAATCCTATCCAAGACAGGCGGTTGGAAGATTGCTGGATGGAAGACTAATAAAAGGTTCCAGGCAGGCAACAGTCAGTAAATATTCACTGAACGCTCCTGCGTTATTCCAATGTCAAAGCATATAATAATGCTTAACACACTGGCAAATTTCCATTTTGTAAACGATATATTGCAGGAACACCGCTTCAGACCCCTTCTTTTCAGCATCCGAGAGCATCCTAGGAAGAATTTCTTATTAGTTGGGCTTCGAAGAGTTCTTTTGAGCTAGATGGTCTCCGATTGGCCGAAACGGCTAGTGATCGGATTTCCCATTGGTAGCTAGAAATGCCATTCTTTTGAATACCGGGTCTCATTGGTTCACAGCGACATCATTCGGCGCTCCGGCGCGCTCCCCTCCGTTTTGTCTCAAAATGCAAAGTGCTGGATGGTGAACGCTGAGTTGGACCGCGGCAAAGCCCTGGGAGCGGAGCTGCGGCCGGGGACGTGCTGCCGTCCGACGCTGGCGCTCAGCCTGGCACTGCACTCACGCTCTTACCGTAAGGATGCTTAGAGCCCTCATGACACCTCCGCCGCTCCTTGGCCGGCTGACCCGGGAGGGTGCTCGGTGTGATCTCGCTTCTATGTTGTGCCCAGTTTATTGTTCTGGTCCCAGGCGCAGAGCAGCGGCCGTGTAGGGGAAGATGTTGAGTCGGCTGAGGAGCGGCAGCATCAGGAATCTGGACAGAGAGTACAGCTGCACTGTCAGGCTCCTGGATGACACGGAGTATACCTGCACCATTCAGGTCAGTGCCGACCCCGATCTTCCTGCCCACAGCACAGTTACTGAGATTGCGAGCCCCCGGATCACAGGCTCAGGCGTGCACTGAACCTTTGTTGTGTCGGAAGAGACCGGACCGGTGTCGCTGGGTCCCGCAGGTCTCCCACCATTCTGATGCTGGTTCGGACCCCTAATTTTAACTGCATTGCGTACCGGGTACAGCGGGGTGGGCACGCCTGGAATTCAGAGCTGAGAGTCCCGGAGAGATCAACCTACAGGTATGGGAACCTGGAAGGCGTGGAGAGGAGCGCTGCAGCCCCAATGGCAGGATGCGTGTCTGTAGGTCCGCTGGCTGGGGCACTCTCCGGTGAGGATGGAGGAAGTTTTCGTCTTATTTTTGGTGTTTGATGTAAGTGAGAGCTCAGGCATCGGATGAAACAGGATGCAGCCACCTTGGTATAGGTACCGGCACTTTCAAACCATAAAGCGACGAAAAGAGGATTGCAACGACGGCCGTAAGACTGAAGCGTGTCTGGCCACTGTATGTAATATGCACCTGTTTGTCTATTGCAGACTCGATCAGATTGTGCCCTGCACTATGCTCAGTGGGAGTTGGCAGGGCACCTGAGTATGTCCGTGGCCCCATAGCGACCTGGCGGCCACGCCGAAGTGCCCCCGTAGCAGGAATAACTGTCACAGTCCCAGGAACGCGTCGGAAATGAAAGACGGCAATGAATCCTGTGTGTAAAAAGGGCGTCGATCGAGTGTGCAGGGTGATATAGTGCCGTCTGCGTCCGTGCTCTCGGACAAATATGTTTGTATAATTAGAGTATTAAATATTTACGTGCGTAGATTGAGATGCGCTTCCTCGTGTTGTCTTTTGGCAGGAATATCGGTAAAATGAGCCGGTTGGGGTTAGTGTAAAAGCGCGGTACGGTGTGCGTGCAGTAATCTAAGAAAATGATAGCAATCCGTTATTATTCGGAACATTAATCCGAACAGTGATAACCCATGGGGTCTATTTCTGGTTTGGACTGATCTGTGCACGTTTTTGGTCAGACTTGCTGTTGAGAAGGATAGCTGGTTTGGTTGTTGGTATCAAGCTTTCACTGCCAGGCTGGGAAGTTTGTGCTGGTGTTGGTGGTAGTGCAGGTTTCTGTTTGTGAGCAGAGTATGTTTCCCACTCTTTCCTAATCAGTAACTCTGAACATCTTCCCTAGAGACAGGCACAACAAAAGCATGTTTGAGCCTGATATTTTCTCTCTTGTAATGGGAGTGCACTTCCTTTGGGAATAAACACTCACCTTTTTGTCCTTATCTCGACAGAAGGATTATAAAATGTATTTGGAGAATAATTTGTAGATGTGATGCATTGGTGCCCCACCCTCACTTGTTCCCTGCCTTAGCTTGCAGGATAGGCTCCAGGCCTCCCGCAAACCTGCATTGGACAACTGGATATAGAAAACCGATGGATGCTTGGAAGGAAGGAATAATTTGGAGAATGTTAATTTGTGGGTGGCTGGTTGTAGGATGTTGTGGCCCATCAGATAGTTCCAGAAGCCAGTGAGGGGGCAGGGAGGGGAGGTCAGCTTTCCCCTTTGAAGGTGGGGGTCACAGTCCTCACTAATGTCCTTTCCCCAGGCTGTGAGATCTCAGCACACCCTGGCAGAGTGTGAGCGTGAACTGGGTCACTCTCTCTGAGGCGTTCCCGCTCTCAGTCATTCCCAGCGGATCTGCTTTCATTATGAGCGGCACTGTTTCACTTATCCACTTAACAGCCGTGCCAGTTCCAGCGTTCCCCTCGAATCTCAGCGTTCCTGCCTCTCTGCAGCTTGATGCTGAGTCCAAGCCTCATTACATCAGCGTGGCCACAATTACGGCGCACAGTGGACTGTGATACAGCCGTTTTTCCAGTTAAGTGATCAAACGGCCCCAAAGGCTCCTGCTGACCTGCAGCTCAGATTATGGTGCTGTAGTTAGAGCAGATCCCCACTTGGGGCTGGGGGTTGTTGCCGGAGGTCTGGGGGCAGTGGGGGGCAGGTGTGTGTTTCCAGCGTGATTTAGTGGGTGTGAAACAACCACTTTGTGATTACGGCTCTGCAGTGAGGACGTATACAGCCAGTGGCAGAAACGCGGCCTCCAGTGGCGAACGGGCCCTTGGGTATACTTAAGATGCCATTTACCCCCCCCCCCCCCTCCCCCAGCCATACACTAGTGCACCGTGTGCTGTGACCTGTCAAGTGTCTGACCCTAACCCTAAAGTTAATGGTACGTGAGAAATTAAAACATTAATATTAATGACCCTAACACATGGGTGTGTATCCTTCACAGTAATCCTTGGCGGCTTGCTGGCCTTTTAAAGAGATTTATTTTAACTGCTCAGGCTTAATATAGAATAAAATTGGGGTGTGTCTTTGACAGACGCTCACAGCAGCAGTACTGCTGACTTTCTGAAAGACGTGTCTCTTCACTGCAGAAAGATGCATTAATGTGAGAAATTTCACTGCACTGGCGGAGAGCAGCAAACTGGCCGGCGAGCTCTTGTATACCTGGTTAGCCTGGAACATTCTTTTTGTCTCTCCCAGCTCTCCCACATTTACGGTGAAGTTAATTCAATACCCGAGTGACTGAATTCTCTGCGCGGGTTTATTATCCAGCATCATTTAAAGAGTGTTTTTGGGGTTGGTAGATTGTGTGCAGGTTGTGGCTTTTCCATTTCCCCAAATGCTCCTCCTCACAGAGCCAGTCGGGCCCCTCACATCGGTTCCTTTTTATTAGGGATGCACCGGTACCATTTGTTTCAGACCAGGTACGAGTACCGATACTCACCGATACGGATACTGATTAGGGCTGTGTGATGCCTAAAAAATAATATGCAATATTTCAGCATAAAAATATCGGGATGAACGATAGTATTGGAACCCCCCCCCCCCCCCCCCCCCCACCACTGCAGCACCAATTTTTTGCCAAAAAAAAAATGTGAAGACCTGATCAAAATGACATACAGGTATTCTACTAATCAATAATAATAAACAGTTCAAAAATAAACAGTGGATTTCATTGTTAACTTTGAAGTATTTCCATGCTGCAGAAATTTTGTTCCGCTTATTTTGCTTGGTAATGATGTCATTACATGGTATTGATTATAGCAGGGGTGGCCAGTCTTATCCAGAAAGGGACGCTGTGTTTGCGGGTTTTCGCTGCGACTCCCTAATTATATTAGTAATTAGAGGACTGATTGGCTGAAGAGTCCTCACACCTGGGTTTGAACAGCTGACCTAAAGGTTATCCAAAATTCTGCACACACGCTGGCCCTTTAGGGAGAAGATTGCCCGCCCCTGGCTTATAGGCACCAGCACATTGTCATGTGGACATGAGCGTGCTCTCAGTATTGGTGCATCCCTACTTTATGCAAAACCTGGGTGGTGCTTTACACAGATCTGCAGCTAAGGTGAAGTATTTCACGCCATAGTTTCACCCATCAGACGCACGTGGGTCTGGTGCCCCCTGTCCTTTCCGGCTGATCCGGGGCCGGCCGGAAGCCGGCTGGACGACGTGCCACTGAAGCTCTCTGTGTTCCTGAAGGGAAACCGCGTGCTCTGCTCGGCAGGCTGTCTCCTAGGTGACCGTGGAGATGTGGGGAAGTGGGTCATAACTAAGCGTGGTGCCAGGCGTTCTGCCGTTTCTACGGTGACGCCAGAGCAACACTTGTACCGGAGTAGATGTTTCCAAGTGCAGGAAAGGGCAGAAAAGGTTTGCTCCGAACCGGAAGGGCGGGGCCCTCTGCGTAATCTCTTGACGTCCTTTTGCCGTGGTCTGGACCCCATGTGGGGAGGATTTCCTGCTTCTCCGTCCCCGAGAGATAATCTTTCAATATGTGAGGAGGAAGATGATGTCTACAGTACAACTGCCTCTGTTTCTGTTTTGGCAACATTGATACAAACCATTAATCTAATAATATTTGCCTTTGAACTGCAGTCTAATCTGGGTACCAGCTGTGAATCTGACTGGCACCTGTTAGTGCTTCTGCTGAGAGGTTATTCGGTTTTACCTGATGCAGCTTGGCTCTGGGAGCATGGCTGATCTCAGATCAGTTATTTCACTATTGCCTTGACTACTTGTGAGTCTTGTGGTCTTTGTGACATACAGGCTCTGCCAGCGTGAATCCTTACATTTATTTATTTAGAAAATGCTTTTTTCCAAAGCAAAGTACAAGTGAGAAAGCAGATCGATTAGGGTTATGGGCCGTTTTTAGGGGCCCAGTGGAGAAATCACTCTGCTGGCCATGGGATTTGAACAAATAACCTTTGACTTACTGTTCAGTCTTAACCCACAGAGCCACAGACTGCTGCCATCTGTCATTATAATTCCTGATCACGTTTGGGGTGAATTTTGAAAACTGAGAAGAGCATATCTGTTCTAAGTAATTGTGCCTGCGGTCCACATGTCACAGACGTGTCACTAAAGGATGTCAGATCGGGATCCGAAAGTACTGGGCGTTTTTGCTCCAGAAGGCGACGTACGTGTCCATCACTGTGTGACAGTGTTTGGCTCCCATCCCAGGTCCTGCACTGTGGATGGGATAAGCGCTGTGCGGGATAAACAGGGATGGTGCTTCCTGCAATATGGCTGTGCTGTCGGCTGCTTGTTGTCTGAAACACGGTGGGTGTTCGTGCTGTGCTGTTCTGCTCCTGACCACCTGTGTGCCCTGCTGCCTGTTTGCCCCATTCCAGCTGCACTGGGGGATTCTGGGGGAAATGCCATCTATTAACGTGACGTCCGCCCGTCTGGCCTGTCACGCTGGCGGTCCCCACACTCTGGAGATGTGGATGAAGGAGAGTCAGGGCTCGCTCTGACCTGGGAGGGATTAGCCATCTTCCATGGCCGCTCGTCCGGTACAGGGTTACGGAGAGCCTGGAGGCCGTCCCCTCAAGCACAGGGCACAGTGCAGGGGACACTCTGGACATGTGGGCTATTTAGAGATAGCGTTTTGCTTAATCAGGTGTTTTCGGGAGTGAAAGGAAA